AAAAAAGGCAACTAGCTACCAGCAGCTGTAATGGTGACAATAGTAGAAGAGGAGAACCTTTTTGCTCACATTTTACTCCTTTCACTCATTCTTCATTTCTTTCCTTATTTTCCTAAGACAAAGATCACCCTAGCAAACAAACAGATTAAAATTGGATAACTGAAGCTGTTATCACCCGTGGCTGTCATCCCTCCCTCTCTGACAGATGTGACTGCAGTTTTCAGCTCAATGTGTGAACGCAAGCCCATTCCAGACCTTGGTTGCTGTAAGATATGCAGCTGAAAACAGTACTTTGGGCACCAGTTTACAAGAGAAGGAGGTCCTGGCATCCTTTGGAAGGGTGCAAGCAGCTTCCCTGTCCATCCACTTGTCTTTAAACCACAGTCACGTCTGCCTGAGCTCTGAAACCATCAGCCACTCAGACAGAGAGTGATACTTGTAAGGAATTATTATTTTTTCACAGTAGATAGCATGCAGTGAGCATAAATATTTTCAAAACTTTCAGTAACTTTTTCTTTCCTCCAGAGCTCCCGGGCTTGATGTTTTATTTCATTTCATTCAGAGAGTACCCAGTACAGTCCCTACAAGGGCCTGGGAAGTGTGCATTGCACACAGAATAGAAATCAAAGCCATATTCTTTCATCTGCTTTTGTGTAATTCCAAATCAAGCTTCCAGTCTCAATTTAAAAAATGTGATTAAATTGTAAATTACAGAAGATAACACTCCTCTCAAGGACAAAAAAATTTAAAAATAAGTTTGCAAAGCTAAGAGAGAAGTATCAATCATTGGCAAGAAGCAGCCTAGGATATGAACGAATTGCGTGACATTTAGAGAGACAAATAAGTGCAACAGAATTAATCAGCAGATGTAAAAGAGTTTGATGCCGATAGAAGATAGAAGAGATGTCCAACAGGGCATAAAACAATAACCATGTACATCAAATCATCAGCTGGTCTCTGCATGGATGGAAAAAGCTCTGAAGAAATGCTATAAGACTTTTTTGAAGAGGGTTTCAAGCCGGACACAAATGAAAGGCAAATGAATCCAATCTGTGCCTCTCTTGCTTGCTCGCTTGCTCACGTATACACCCTTCCCCCCACTTTCAGAAAGCCAGTCCCCCACCCTGGACGTCTGACCCTCCCTCTCCCTCTGCCAAGTTAGGGCTAAACTTTACATTGAGTCTTGAAGGCCAGGGTGTGGTGGCACAACAGCAGCATAAAAAATAAATGAGTTTTTTTTTTCTATATTTGCATTCCTGATAGATTCCTCACAACTCCTATGAACTAGACTGAGGACTCAGGAGAGAAAGATGTAGAAAGAGGCAGGCACAGCAAACAGAATTAGGAAATATTTTGAAAATAGACTTGCAAGCCAGGACGTGCAATAGCCAAATTCGCTTTAGCTCTCAACAATGCAAGTTCAAAGGTTTGAGTTACTCAAGAATATCCTGTGTTTAGCCAACATTGCTAATCTGGCACATCTCTTCCTTGTCTGGCCAAGGTTTCTTCCCTTCCCTTCTCAACATATCCAGCACAGATAAATGCAATGTTACAGACACTTATAAACAGAGTGAACATGAGCGAAACATCAGCACAGCTTTGAAAGGCAGGCCATATATTTGCAGTCATGATGAGTTTAAATTTTGTTTTGTTGTTCTTCCTGCTGTTTGCCAGCAGTAAATGGCAATTGTACTTTCCGACCATGTTCAGCTGGGCTCTATGCCATTTTTTGCTGTTTCTGATGGCAGAATTCTCAAAGACATATATTAAACTATCTGGCCCATGCAATGACTCATTCGGGCTCTTGTTTCCAAGGAGGCCCTATAAGAAGAGGGGAAGTAAGGTTTTTTTTTAGAAAGGCAGCAGCCTTCTGCATTAGTAATATTAAACTTTCCCATGGAATTTCAATAGCATTAACAAATTTTTCAGATAAAAAACCAGAAGGCTTTTTTTTAGGATTTCAGCAGAGAAAAATGTGCAGGCTTTATGCACTCCTCAATGCTGTAAGCTCCCTCGCAGTCTGTCCTGTGACCATTCTTAAATACACTAATGTTATAGAGTTAATCTCATAATGGTAATGCATCCACAAACAAATTAGTGCAGTAATGTAGTTAGCTCAATTAACTTTTGAATCTATTCACTAGGCAGAACTAAAGGTCATTTTCTATTAAAATATCTCCCTCCTACTTCCTTATCACCCTTTGCAACTTATGGGAGTTAATATTAGAAATCCCGTCTATGCTATGTCAGGAAGAAGACAGGATGACAAAGCCAGAAAAAGACCTTATTCTTTACTAACATAACACAGACATGGCCCAAAGAGAACATCTGCCTTCTTTCATGAACACATCTAATTACAGCAAATTGTTAACACCTTGAAGAAGAGTTTCTTAGAAGGGTAAACTTTAACAGATGTCATCCTCTCATGTAAAACATCCTGTACTTCATACTTTCCCAAACATATGCCCTTTTTCCTACAAGTTTACCGAAGACTTTATTTTGAAAAGGACTTCAACCTGTTTTCCATTCCTGTGGATGCATTTTTTTAGTGCTTGCAGTTATTTGTCTGTCCAAATAATTCCATAGATACAGCAAACTATGTAATCTGGGGATGCAGTTAGGAGATGAGGCAGCAAGCCCTGCAAAACTGCAAATGCAATTATTTACCCACTTGCAACTGCAAGCCACTATAACTTAGGTCTTTTACAAAATCATGCCTTTAGTTTATATGGGCACCAAAAACTGTGTGTCCATCTTGCAGCTCCTGCTACTCTTCCCCTTGAGATCTCACACTAAAGTCACAGTGAATAATTTGACACTATTATTGCCATGGCAACAGCCTGATGTCATGAATATACAGAATTATGATTGACATTCCTGCAGTATCCAACAAAAGGAGGAATGAAGGGAAGAGAGAGAAAACCAGACACAGCTCCAATACTAATGGGGGAAACAGAGCATCACTGGCACTGTAAATATCGCTCCATAAATCTGCCTTCTCCCATTTTTCACCATGTGAACATTCCTGTGAAGGAATGAGCCCAAAACACATATTCAGTGCAGAAGGGGGTTCCTCACACGTGCCCAGATTTGGCCAAAGCACAGCGAGTCCTCTTCTGACAACGCTTTCCTCGGGGAGCAGACTCCATGATACAGCACGATTTTGCCACAGAGATTTGTCTTAAGAATGTCTCTCCCTCTTAAATGTCACAGGTATAGCCTAAAATAACACAAGACATTAAACTGAGTGTTTTTTTTCCCCTGTGAGGATAGTCTTCAGGTGTTCAGCTGGGCTGTAAATCTTTTCTTTTTTTTCCCCGATGTTTATAAGTGCTCACAGAAAGACACACGCAAACCATTAGGAATAGTATAAAATAACATCTGTTAAATATTTTTTTAAACTCAATGTCTGCTGCAGTGCTTATAAGGGTCTACAGGCAATACAAAGATGAAGATGGAAACAGCCTTTTATTCTAAATTTGATATATACACGGAAAGCCGTTTTACACAGTTTTGTAAATTCTGCGTAAAAGAGCTATTGTCATCCAATGTCACTGTGCTTACACTAATAACAACTTTTAGACATGGAGTACATTATTAACAACAAAAACTGTTAACAAACAGGCATAAAAGACACAGATATGTGTGCTGATATTTCACATATATTCTAGAAACAAGTTGGCGCAAAAATAAAATGTGCCAGTAAAAAAAAAATAGGCATTTTTTAAAAATCACGCAATACATGATTTTCTTTCCTGCTTTCTCTCTTTCCTTTTTGTACATGATGTGCTGAGATGCATTCTCAAATCTTTTCACATCAAGATTTGCAGGCACTTCAGCAACCCAGCTATATTTTTTACAATACATGAAGTTCAGACCAATAAACATAAAAACAGTTGCTGCAAAAGAAATTCTCATATCCCATATGCACATTCAAATATTACTCACTGCTAGAGCAGTCTTTTTTGCTTTAGTTAATTCTTGGATACTGACATGTTTTCAGTTTGATGTGTAACAGTTTGTCTCCATTTCCCTCTCATTCATATACTTAAAGGTTTCTTTTTAATGTAGCGTCACAATGGAACAATACAGTATACAGAAGCACAAGGCAATTGTCCACAAAGCTTCACAAATTGTAAAAAGAAGAAATTGTTTTGTTTTCAGTTTTTTGATCCATAGAAAAACTTTGATTTCTTCTGCTCTTGCTTTAAGCTATCTCCAAGATTTGCCCAAAGACAACTGCATATCAGATGATACCCTCCCTAGTTCTCTTCCTAGACACGTGTCATATGACCAAATTCATTTAGAAGTAAAGCAAAGCAGAACTCGATTGTGTGTTTGTTCATAATTTCCCATCTTTAATAAAATAGTAAAATATACTTATCACTGGCTAGTCTCTCTCCAGTTATTTCATTTGTAATGGTCTGTGTATTAAGATTATAAGGCAATTGTAACATGAGTCTCAGGATAACTGAAAGTTTAATATTATTGTTTTCCTCATGAGTTGAGATAAAGGCTTTTTTAATAAGGTCAGTGTGGGGAGAGAGAAAAAGAGTGCATATGTGCATAATAGGAAGATAGTTTTTCAGCATAGACACTTAAATATTGACCAACAAAGACTGGTAATGACTCCACCATAAAACATCTTAGAACTGTGACTGTGATCCAGAGTAGAGCTAAGCCTTATCCACTCAAGAGTGATATGTACTTCTCCTCCTAACCCAAGAGAAATAAAAAAGGACATGTCAATGATTCCTTCAACCTCAAATTCATTACTTGCACGCCACAAAGCTGGATGTTGGTGTAGTAAGTCACTGCAAAGTAAAACACATTACAACAAATCCTAGTAATAAGCCATTGACAGCTACTGGACTGGGCTATGCAACTCAGTATGCAGGGGTGGCGTTGCTCACTTCTGCTATGATTGTCAAATGGTGGAACATCCTTCCATGAATTCAGCTCTTGCGACAGAACGGCAAAGACGTAAGGCCCATCAACGCTTTGCCCGTATTTTTAAAGGCACTGAAACAGACAACGGATATATTCCTTAGTACCATCAGTTTAAAAAGTTTTCAAAATACAAGTCTTTATACGAAAATGTTCCTTATTGCATGATAAGTTGATCTTCATTTTCTTCACCTCAAGAATAAAATGGTCTTCCCTTTTCTGGTGTTTGCAATCTGTTCAGCCTCGCTACCTGAGATGGGGAAGGTGGTACATCTTGCCTGAAAGGACCTTTAGGAGGGGTATAATTAGGGTCCTGAATTTTCTTATACGAGTCATAGTTGCTAGGCCCTTCAGAAGAAGTTTTTTTTTTCAGTTGTTGTTCTTTCCGCCTCTGCTCTTGACGGAGCAGTTCTTGTGTTTCTAGCATGACCCGGGCATTGAAGCCATGTCCCCCCATATAGCCATTCCTTGATCCTTGGTAGCTGGAATATCTCGGATTTTCCTTTGCGGTCTGGAACCCTTCTCCAGGGGAATAGCTCTGCTCCCAGGAGTCTTGAGATACAGAGCTGGCATTTTTTCTGCTTTGCCTGGAAAGAAAAAATGGAAGAGGCTTTTAAGACATATGTTGCGGTTCCCCTGGTAGCAATCCCTGAAAAAAAGAGTGCTTCTGCAATGCCATCAGGTTTCCCCCAGCTATAGCATTCTCCAGGAGTTACCTTCTTTTCTGCCACAAAAAGGCATCTTGCATCTTTTGTCAGTAGAACATTTCCTATAGAGTTAGGCTGTATATAGGCCTTTCCAGGAGGAATATGCCATGAAACCCATCCAGTGCTACAACCACCATCGTGTTCTCAATAAAAAAGTGCTACAACACAGCTGCAGACTGGGAAAGCCCATACACACTGCTGTGCTTCCTAAGAAACCAGGTAGCAGCCAGCAGTTGTAAAGTAACTCATGCAAGACTTGAATCTAGACTCACACTTGGTTAAAAATGCAGGAGGCAGATCTTTAAAACACTTGCTCTAGCATTGCACAAGTCAGAAGATAAAGCTCATTATTGATAGGTAGTTACACAGATGAAAGTATCTTCCTCCCATTTCCAGAACTAAGGTACTTCATGCTATCAGGACTGTTTCTCAGTTTGCAATAGCTTTCATAGTAAAAAGGCAGAGATAACCTTTTTTGCTCTTTTTCTTTTTTTGCTCCAGGGGTAGGATAAATAAATCAAATACATACAGGAATTACAAATTCTTATCTCTTTTTGTAATAAATCATCACATTATTTTGAAGGCAGATTATGGTTTTAAAATAGCTTTAATTTACCATCAAGCTGCTAGATGCTTTTATGAATTTAAAATAAGATTGGTGATGATAAAGTAAAACAATTTTGTGCAGCAGCAAAAGAGATACCCACTTGGAGATTAAAATTAACATATGAAAATCAAGCAGTAAAACAAAATATATTGCAACATTAATCAATAAGAAAATAATTTAATTGTTCATATATGGCTTGTTTTTTTTCATGTCAACACACATGACTCAGCATGGCCTCATCCAATGAAAATGCAGTGGAGAGACAGAACACCTGTAGAATTTCTTTACCAGGAGTAAAAGTAAAAAGTCACCTAATGTTTTTTGCAGTTCTTCTTCCAGACATATAACTTGAAAATTACCATATCCACCTTATTTCATAATAGATTTTGAGACCTCTGGATGAAAATTGTTATTCAAGATGAATGTAAATTATTACAGCATGAATTACAGCATAATATAAATTCTGATGCAAACTTTCATAGCTGTTCTTGGTATTCGCATATCCAACTTTGCAAAGAAATGATGTTTCTGAGCCATGTGTTATCACTCCCTGGAACAAGAGCAAATTGAATGAACCTCTGTAGGCTACGAAACTATCAGGTTTCTGATCTAGAGCAAGATAAATTTTAAGTATTAGAAAATTAACTTGGAGTTAAACATTCCTTTTACAGTTTCACATGGGACAAGAGGATGACTAGTTGAACTGATTTAATTTACTGACTGTTTTCTGGTACTTGTTCAAAATTAGTTGGCCCACTTTCTCTGTCTTTCTGGGAAGATCTTTAAAATTGACTCAAGAGTTTATTTGCCTTCAGTACTAATGATTTGAATATGGAAAGGGAAAAAAAAACAAGGCTCCAAAAGACTATACAAGATGAAACCAAACAATGCTCAAGAATGAAGCCAGTGCACAAACTTGAACTGTTAGAAATGCATACTTGCATCATTAAGCTTGGGACCTAAGTTTCAGAGTAACAGTAAGATTTTTTTAAAAATCAGTCACAGAATTATGAACAGTTTGTAAAGAAGGAGAACTGGATGCCTCAGGTTGTTATAGGAGTATCATGGCATTTACAGCACTCAACTTTAGCCCAAGGTCCTGAAACTGTCTGCTCTCAGCACAGCTCAAATAGAGTGCTCAGAGTCATTAAATTATCATTAATTACTCAATAATACGCATTGTTAGCTTGCTAGTCATTTCTCATGTTGAAAACCACATTGAGTGAAGTTGTCAGCTGCTCTTTTCAAAACAAGCATTTCTACGCCCCAAAGCATTATTTTCCACAGTTCTTGCAGAGTTATTAATTTCTGCCACTGGAACTGCATTGTAACTGGTAGCATTTAAAAGTTGGAAGTCAGTGATTTGGCACAACAGAGCAAGTGAGTGTTAAGAATCATAGTTTTAAAACTAAAAATATTCTCCCCAGCTCAAAAGTGACACTGGCATCTGTGCTCTGCCACTCAATCTGTGCATTGCTGGGACTAGTAAAACTGCAAGAGAATTTCCCAGGAAAAACAAGATGGCATTAATAGGTGTGGTCACTTCAGAATGAAGGCAGAGATAAGAGGCAAAAGGAATATGACGATTTTCAAAATGACAAACTAACAATCTAAGAAAACAGAGAAACTTTACACTTTCCTTTCCCACCTTCCAAGGAAGGAAAAATTTTACACTGAAAGGAGTTTACCCTGGAAACTACCACCCTGTCAGCCTCACCTCTGTGCCTGGGAAGATCATGGAGCAGATCCTCCTAGAAGAAATGTTAAAGCACATGGAGGGCAGGAAGGTGATTCAGGAGAGTTGGCATGGCTTTATCAGGGGCAAGTCCTGCCTGACCAGTCTGGTGGCTTTCTATAATGAAGCAACTGCACTGGTGGACAAGGGAAGAGCTGTAGACGTCCTTTATCTTGACTTTGCTTAGTTAAGACATTGTTCCCCACAGCATCCTTCTTTCTAAGTTGGAGAGATATGGGTTCGATGGGTGGATTGTTCAGTGGATAAGAACTCGATGGACAGTCGCACCCAGAGAATAGTGGTCAATGGCTCGATGTCTAGCTGGGCAAAAGTGACAAGTGGTGTCCCTCAAGGGTCCGTACTGGGACCAGTGTTGTATAACATTTTCATCAATGACATAGACAGCAGCATCGAGTGCACCCTCAGCAAGTTTGCTGACAACACTAAGCTGGGTGGTGCAGTTTATGTGCCAGAGGGACAAGAGGCCATCCAGAGGGACCTGGACAGGCTGGAGAGGTGGGCTCAGGTGAACCTCATGAGGTTCAACAAGACCAAGTGCAGGGTCTTGCACCTGGGGAGGGGCAACCAGCATTACCAATACAGGTTGGGAGGGAACACGTTAGAAAGCTATCCACTGGAGAAAGACTTGGGGGTACTAGTAAATGAGAAGCTGGACATGAGCTAACAATGAGCAGCAGCAGCCCAGAAGGCCAGTCAAATCCTGGGCTGCATCAAAAGAAGCGTGGCCAGCAAATGGAGAGAGGTGGTCCTGCCGCTCTACTCTGCCCTGGTGAGACCTCACCTGGAGTCCAGCTCTGGAGTCCCCAGCACTAGAAGGACATGAAGCTGTTGGAATGTGTTCAGAGGAGAGACACAAAACTGATCAGAGGGCTGGAGCACCTCTCCTGTGAGGACAGGCTGAGGGAACTGGGGTTGTTCAGCCTGGAAAGGAGGCTCTGGGGGACCTCATAACAACCTTCCAGTACCTGAAAGGGGCCTACAAAAAAGCAGAGGAGGGACTATTCACAAGGGTTTGTAGTGACAGGATGAGAGGTAATGGCTTTAAGCTAGAAAAGGGTAGATTTAGGCTAGACATTGGAAAAACGTTCTTCAATACGAGGGTGATAGACCACTGGAATAGGTTGCCCAGACAGGTGGTGGAGGCCCCATCCCTAGGGACATTCAAGATCAGGCTGGATGAAGCTCTGAGTAGCTTGATCTAGTTGGAGATGTCCCTGCTTAGGGCTGGGGGGTTGGACTAGATGACCTTTGGAGGTCCCTTCCAGCCCAGACATTCTATGACTCTATAATTCTATGAGTTATAGCATGTGAAAATGTGAGAGTTCTGTTTTGTTTTCAGAGATATTAGTAGGATGAACATTCATAATTAAATAACTTTGATTATGAAGCTTCTATTTGTTTCCAAAAACCATGTAATGATACACTTTGCAAAACACATTTTCACAATACATTTTTTTTCCACAACATTTCCACACAAAGCACAAAGATAATACAACCTTGTTGGACATCAACCTCTGCTGTAAAGGATTCTCCATTCAATCATTGCCATTGATACTTGAAAATGCGGGAGCCCAGCGCCCGTGTGAGGCCGCGGGTGACGTCCCGTCAGGCAGCACACAACCGCCCTGCATCGCAGGGATCCCGCCCCTCGGCCCCGCTCTGTGAGACCCCCCTGCAGTGCTGGGGCAGCTCTGGAGTCCTCAGCACAGCAGAGACAGGGACCCGCTGGAGTGGGGCCAGAGGAGCCCCAGCAATGCCCCGAGGGGGGAACCCCTCTGCTGGGAGCCCAGCAGGAGAGAGTTGGGCTGGGGCAGCCTGAGAGGAGAAGGCTCCAGCTGGGGAGACCTGCTGGGGGGTGCCAGAAAGCTGAGGACAGACTTTTGGCAGAGCCTGTTGAGACAGGACAAGGGGCGATGGTTTTAAACTAAAAGAGGGGAGATATAGACTAGGCATAAGGAATAATTATCCTGAGGGTGGTGAGCCCCTGGCCCAGGTTGCCCCAAGAGGTGGTCGCTGCCCCATCCCTGGAACCATTCCAGGTGAG